TGTTCTCTGGGATGGTAATTGACTGGCATCACCTATTGGGGATTAAGAAGACATAAGTGAAAATGATTGTAAGATGCTCCCTTGGAAATCCTGACGCATCAGTCTGTGGTTATAGGAGCCACCTAGGTGACACTGAGTAAAGAAGCACTCTCCCAAGGCCGTCCCAAGGACAAGGCCGGCCTGCCTTGCCATCTTGACCAGGTTATATTCCCCATGCAGGATGAAAAGGGCAGAGGCAGGAATCAGCAGGAACTGAGCCAGTGCAGGAAACCTTGGGCCCCAAGTTGTACCAGATCTTAACCGAAAATACCCAGAATTCTCTTGTGGCTTCTTCTGGTCCAACATAGGCCTGCGTTAGTGTCCTGTCACATGAATGCCTCCAGCCTCTGTTGTGTCTTCAAGGACCAATTTATTAGCTTCAAGGCTTCAAGACCCAACTTTACTGAAATTCTGGTCCAGGAAGAGGTGAGGGCAAGGCTGCACTTACTCACTGCATGGGTTCTGCCTGCTACCCAGCGCTGCCTTACCTGACTCTCATTCCTCCTCACTCTGTTGCCTCCCACGAAGCCTACACCATGCAGACTTACTGCATCAAATTCACTTTATAAACACTTAGAGTAGTAGTAGGTCACTTGCCACCAAAACTTGGAGGACTTTTTTTTACCCTTCAGGACTAGAATAGGTGGGATAAGTATAAATTTAGCTCTGACCCTCTTTGGAACAGAAAGGAAGTAGGGTAGAGCATTGCAAAGCATCCAAAGCAATTGGTCCTGTTGTTTTGAAGATCTTTTATTTATAGCAAGCTCTAAGCTCTGTTTCACATCCAAATAAAGGTAAAGGGCCTGGCCCACAGCTCTTTAAATCAAAAGGTTCCTGTGATAAAAGTCCAGGTTCCAGAAAAATCACTTTATTATTGTAGAAGAGGGAGAAATACACAAAGCTTGAAACCCAGAGACAGAAGTAGAGAGAGAAAATAGACAATGATCAAAGTGTCCCTGAATAGAGGGTGGTGACTTCACCTAGGAGAGGCAGGGGGAAAGGTGACACTACAGAATGAATGGTCAGTGAGAGAAGGCTAGGGAGGCAGCGGGCAGAGGGAAGGAGAAAGTTTAGGTAGCAGGGAATTTGATCAGGTCAAACGCCCTCAAACACACTGTAGTTTAAGGAAAATGGTGAGCTGAATGAATGGGACAGGCAGGCAAAACTACACATGTTGGAGAGAATGGAGAGAAGTGACGGGAGACTGGAAAAGGGATGCTGGTGTCGAGTCACTTACTGATCCCAGGTTCTCTATGAGGTCCGTGATCAGAGAGTTAAGGTAAGGATTTTGTTCTCCAAAGCCCTTCCTATTTTGGTGTGTGAGTATTTCATATTTTTGATCAGTAGAACAAAACCTCCATGATTAACCTGCTGTTAGCCCCTCTGGCTTGCCACCAGCTATCTCCCAAAAAGGACAGTGGTTGCGGAACAGAGAGCTATTGTCCTATTCTCAGGCCAAGGTAGTAACAGCCACAGAGACCCACATTGAGAGAGTCTCAGTCCTGAGGGCTGCCAGCCACGGAGGCTAAATAGTCTTTCATGTCAGTCTGCTGCCTAGGCACCTACAGATCTCACCATGGTGAAGCCCCACCCTGAGCCTCGCTGTCAGCATCGGTAGGCTGAGCTCAGAAGCTCAGCTCTTCTGTGAATGCCACCACAGCATTCTAGCACTGCCTGTCTCTAGCACCTCCACGCGCTTAGGCCTCTCAATCGGCAGGTGCCCCCCTCCTATTGCCAGACCAACTCCAGCTCTGCAATTTTGCTCGCACCCCAAAGGTCCTAGGGCACAATTCCACATTGTCCCTTTAATGGAGAGTGACGATCAGTCAAAGACAAACACCATAAACAACTGTATCTCCACTTGTCCTAAATGTATCTTAGCCCAAAGTACAGTATCCTTTCAGCCCAGGTGTTCTCATGGAGGGTGGTCTGGTGCTGGGTTCCTGCCCACGGTGATCTCCTAATCAGAGGCTAGCACAAGCCCCCTCCCACCTAGGACCATTGGTTTTGGGCCACTGGAATGGGAGTTCTTCCTTAAAGGGACACATGTTCACAGTGTTCTTCTGGAAATTCTAGCCCAAGAGTCTCAAAGACATAATAAAGCAAGTGGATCCATATTAATTTTACATGTGGTCTGGCAATGGAACAGTCAGGAATCTCTGAATTCCCCCTCCCACGGATTTAGGGGGGCTAGAGGAATAGGAATCACATGGGGAAGACACGGATTGACACTTCTCACTGTTTGGCTCATTCCTTGTTCAACTGAGATACATGCAAGAGAGATCCACCCCACAACATGCACACAGCACACAGAGAAGTGCAAATGTGTTACACTTATATCAAAGTTCACTCACTCATTCAGCCAAATGCTCATTAATCACCTTCTGTGGGCCAAGCACTGTTCAAAGCACTGGGAATGAAAATAAAACAATTGAATTCCCTCCCCCAGGGTCCTTACATTCTGCTGGGGAAAATAAACACTAAACAAAGAAAGAAATATCTACTGATCAGTGGTAAATAATATTTTCTTAAAAGTAGGATCAAGGGCTAGAGAAGAGGTCAGAGGCCTAATAGAACTCAAGGGTGCCCCACACCGACTGTTGTGTAAGATCAGGACCAGAGTGGCAGGCATTTGGAAGCCGGAGGAACAGTGAGGAGGCCTATGTGGCTGCAGCAAAAGAGAGAGAGAGAGTATAGGAGATGGATCTGAAGTCCTTGTGAGGACTCAAGCTTTCCCACCCAGAAGGGAAGGTAATTAGAGGCTGAAGCAGATCAAGACTGGCTGTGACTGCACAAGAGTCCTGCTGCAGGGTGGAGAACTGTTCTAGTAAGCCAGAGTAAAGGCAGGGCAACCAGATGAAATGGCTGGTGGCCAGAACTAGGGGATAGGGCAGTGCAAGGTGGTCAAAAGGACCTGAGAACCAGCCTGAAAAATAAACTCAAAAGTGATAAAACTCATCAGTGGGTTTTGAGCTCCAGGCAGGTTTAGGAAAACTGCTTTAAATGTAATGAGAGAGGGTATCCTAACCCCCAAAATTCCTCTTACTTCTTGCTTTAAGGAGATCACTACACCCTCTAGCCTGTGGGGGCTCCAGGCAGTACATCACACATGCTGGCTGTTCCAGAACAACCCAGTCCTAGTGAGTGACAGCCAGCCCCAAGGGCCGTGATACCCAAGAATAGAGGCACACAGATCTATGGTTATACAGAGTTCAATTTACTGGGGACCTGTTGACAGAAGCATGGTCCTGGGTGACAATAAAAGCACTGGGATCCCTGTAATACAGGTCAGAAAGTGACTTCATCCTGGCTGCATGTACCTGGTTTATCTTAAGATAATATCAGTCAGGTGCATCCCTGGAGCCAGGGTCTAGTCATAAAGCTCCACACATGTCTCTAATGGCTTTATCTACTTATGGTTTCCTGGTAGACTATGAAAGAAAAACCAGCAAGTATTACTCAGGGACAATCACAGTTAGTTACAACTCAAGGTGACCGTGGTCATATCAAGCTGAACCCATGCGCTGGGTTATACAGAATTTATCTGAAGACAAAGATGGGGAAAATGGAAAGGAAAAAAGAATCTCTGGCCTCTGCCCTCCAAAACCCGGGGCCTATTTTAGTACAAGACTGTCACAAATGAAAAACATTTTAAAGTGTCTATTGAACAGATACAAATAAATGTATATGCATACCTGCAAACAGAGGAGTGTGGCTGGCAGGTAAGGGATGAGGGGTGGCAGGGAGGAAAAGCTGGATTTCTGAAAGAGAGAGGGACATTTAAGGCTCAGGTTGAGAAGTAGTTCACAACTGCATCCAAACTGTCAGCCCATCTGTTTCTGTCACTTAACAGGAACTCCTCTCTGGAGAGAGGTGACAGGCAGGAATGCAGTTGTGGGGCTGCTGTGAGGTGCATGTTACCCCTTTAAGCAGCAAAAGCAGTTCTCTGTAGGGACTGTGATGATTTGGGGGGTGGTCAATAGTGTCTTGAGATGCCCCAGGCTGTGGGGAATGAGATTTTTCTGGTCTCACATTGGCTTTTGGGTTTGTGTCCCTTTTGCTATGATGCATTTCCTGACCCCTTATCCAAAACACATCTAGTAGCTATTAATAGGTTCCCTTCCCAGTTTAACAAAAGAAAGGGGTTTCCCCTGGGCTATGATGAAGGGCTTCTTTTTGCAGAGGCTCAGTGACCATAGGAAGATGGAACCCCTTTTTCAAGGATCCTACCAAAACTGGTTTCTGCTCAGGGCAACCTCCACTCCCCACTCCGGAATGACACTGGTTTGAGCTTCCCCAGTAGTGCAATAGGCCTTCCTATAAGTCAGGATTTCCCAGACTTATCAGAATCCTGGGGAGTGCTTATCAAAAACTCAGATAATCTGGACCCTAAATACAGATACTGGCTTTTAAAGGCCAGTCCCCAGGATGGGGTCCACCTGGGAAGGTTCTAAGATGTGTACCCTCTCTTCCCCTGAGGAGACCTGACTCATTCCTCCACTAGGCAGCTGCTGCTGGACTGGCATTTTGGGGAGGAATAGAAAGCTTTCTTTTCTGTTTAAAGACCAGTAGTGATACTATTGATTACTAACCTTTATTAACTATGTGCCAGACAGTATACCGGTGACATTTTTTAATGGGAAGGGGATGATCTTCCCAATTACACAGTGTTTTCTGATGGGGAGTCAGACAAAAGGGAAGTTAAGTGGCTTGTCCAAGGGCACACGCAGCCAGCAGGTGGCAGAGCTAGGTGGGAATCTCTGGCCCAGAGCCCCTTCTTGTCATTGTTGCCCACTACTGATGCTGGACCTGAATTTACTAGCTGTCCCCAGTTCACACCACCATAACCAGCCCTGCCCCAGGCCTGGAAGAAAGAGCAGGGATGGAGCTCCATCTTGAAGCCTGCAGAGGTGTCTGGGTGGGGGCACAGGAGAGGGGTTGACCTCTCCATCTGTCCTCAGGTACTGGAACTCCCTGAGCAACTTGGTGGCATCCTTGCTGAACTCTGTACGCTCCATCGCTTCCCTGCTCCTGCTTCTCTTCCTCTTCATCATCATCTTCTCCCTCCTGGGGATGCAGCTCTTTGGCGGGAAGTTCAACTTTGATGAGATGCAGACGCGAAGAAGTACATTTGACAATTTCCCCCAGTCCCTCCTCACTGTGTTCCAGGTACGAACTCTTCTCTGCTCAGGTTCTGACCTGGGGGGGTGGGTCAGTGGTAAAGATAGAGGGGAGCAAGAAGGAGCCCAAAAAAGGGTGGCAGAAAGCAGTGTCCTTTTACTGGGCATGAGGCCAGCCTAGATCAGCCCTAGAGGGTCCATGCCCCCAGGGTAGGGGGTGTCTAGCTCTTTCTGCATTTCTCCTCCCTCAGTTCCCCCATGGAATCCACAGGTGGGTGAATCACTGGGGAAAACATCTAATTTTTCTTAGTCATGGAACCCAAATAAAATCTACACGAAAGCCCTGCTCTTGTGAGGAGTTGTGGGCGGGATGGGGATTTATCTGCCCCTGCAAAAAAGATAACCAGTTCATCAAAGTTGTGATTTTATATAGATACTTTGACTTATGACAAAGCTAAAGTAGCACTTATTTGAGTTCAAAAGTAGATCGAATTAAAGATAAAAAATGAATAATGTGTGGATGTTGCCAAAATCTTAAAGACAGTACCAAATGACAGATGCTTAATAAAAACTATCACTGTCCCCATGAATACATTTGTCTCAATGCCTCCATCTAGGGAATTAATGGTGGTCATCTCGTGTACTATATGTGGAGAGCCAGGGACACTTTGATATTTCTGTCACGCAAATAAAATTTGCTAATAGTCACGTACTTTGTCTACAAACAGAATCAGACTTGCCCAGGCCAATAGTTCAGAGCCCTGGGGAGGAGAGCTGGGGACCAGGAGAAGGGAGAGAGTGGAAAGGAATTTTGGACATTTGTGTTAACATAGTGGGGTAGGGCAGGGGAGTTTGGGGTTTGCTGTTGGTCTAACGCTGTGTCCCTTATTGGTGGGAATGTGTCATTCAGATCCTGACCGGGGAGGACTGGAATTCGGTGATGTATGATGGGATCATGGCTTATGGCGGCCCCTCTTTTCCAGGGATGTTAGTCTGTATTTACTTCATCATCCTCTTCATCTGTGGAAATTGTATCCTTTGCTGCTGCCCCTACCCCTGCTGGCTCCCTCAGCCAGCAGCATAATGCCAAACGGTGCCCTGCAGGCCCCAGCTCAGGCTGCCCTTGGGAGAAAGCATGGCCCAGCCTGAGCCAATTCCGCCTTGGGATGGGTCTGGGTGGAGTACATACCAATGTTTACCCTGGATCCATCCAGGCTGAGCATTGCCTCGCTCCAGGAGGTGTGTTCTCATCTTAATCTAGGTGAATGATGCCCCCTGGTGTTGTGGCATGAACAGCCACTCACGTGGAGATAGGCCCATGGGCAGCCCTGAGACTGTTTCACCTACTCAGATCATTCCTTCATCCTGACTCCCTGCTTTTTGGTCAGTCTCCGGGCTTTAGTCACAGGCAAAGCTGGACAGATCACCAAGTGGACCGAACTGCTCCTTCCAGGCCATGGGCAGGTTTCCAAGATCTCAAGTCCTGATCCTTCTCTCCCCTAATCATAACCCCATGAGAGTTGTGTCCAGAAACTGGGTGGTAAAGGAGAAGCAGCTCTGGCCCAAGACTCAAGTCAAATCCCAGCTTTAAGTAGTTGAGAAACCAAGACCACCAATAACCACAGACAAAGTCTCCATCTGACCATCTGGGTGGCCTCCAGCACATTAGAGGCACTATGTGACAGTGTCATTAAAGTCCGTACGGGTTGAGCATCCCATACCCAAAAATCAAAACTTGTTGAGCACCAACATATCACTGAAAGTGGGAATTCCACACCATGAGTCCCTCTTTCATGCACAAAATTATTAAAAATACTGTGTGAAACTGCTATCAAGGTATGTGTGTAAGGCATATGCAAAACACAAATGTCTCCCCAACATGTCTCATTATGCATATGCAAATAGCCCAAAATCTGAAAACATCTGAAGTACAAGATTCTTCTGGTCCCAGGCATTTTGGATAAGGGATACTCAGCCTGTGACAGAATGATAGTGCTTACTACTACTTACAGGGTCACGGTGAGTTGACTGGGAAGATGCACACAGTGCCTGTTCCATGCTCCAGACCCAGGATGAGATATTCAGTAGCCTACCTGGACAAGCCCTTCCCCTGCTGGATATCAGCTTCCCTTTATGAGAAATGGTGTGTGAACTTCTGGGTTCCGGGGTGGAGGTTGGACGTGACAAACTTTAAGACCCTTCCAGCTATATACTTAATTTGTTCTTCAGTTCTCTTGCCTATGGTGTTCCTGTTGCTAGGGAAGAGGGGAGGCAGGTGGGAAGAAACAGGCAAATGAGTACTTCAATGAGGAATTCCCAAACTTGGCCAGCTCCAGTCAGACCCTCCAAGGGTCTTTGTGTGTGAAGGCTCAAATGAAGTATCTGGCAGAGATACCAGGCCGCCTCCTCAGCACCCAGTTATAATAAGCCACTCTTAAGAGCATTCTGCTAGAAACAATGCTGTTTATAATGTCAATTATAGCCAGTCATCTCAGTGGGGAAACCAATAATGAAACCCAACAATTAAAGAGCAAGGCAGAGCCCCTGCCTTATGCCCCTCCACGCCAGCCTGCAAGCAAGCCTGTCTCAACCACTGAGAAAACTCCAGGTAGTGAGTAGGCGATGGGGAGGAAGGGAGAAAGGGACATGGTTAGGCTCTGAACCCCTCAAAGCGTGTCTCTGCTGGAGAACTCTACCCTGCATGTCCTGCATGCACCCTGCCCCCTGAACCTGTCAAATACCCTGAGGCCAAGGGTCATTTTCTTTAAGAATGGACACAAACAGATATCCTACTGAATGTATTTTTGGCCATTGCTGTGGACAACCTAGCTGATGCTGAGAGCCTCACCTCTGCCCAAAAGGAGGAGGAAGAAGAAAAGGAGAGAAAGAAGCTGGCCAGGTAACCCTCTAAGCCTACCTAGGCCCAGTTCTGGAATGCCATTTCCATTGGTGGAAGAGAGGTTTTGTGCTAGCCTCTGTTGGCCATCCCTCCCAGAAGGGACTGAGCCTGGGGCTTCCTACAGAAAATTGGGCTCACTTCTGACTCCTAGCCATTGCTCTGGAGTAGGGACCATTGTGAATGATAGTTTCAGGAAGGTGTTGCATTTCCTACCTGTCTAGGAAGTTGGGGTGGGGGGAGTCCTGTTCTGAGAAGAGAGACCTTGGGAGTGCAGGAATGGGAAAGGAGGAAGATAGTCTTCAGAGTGTGACATCAGCGTGTGGGGAAGGCAAGACAGGGACCTGCATTGTGGCCATTGTTGTCATACCTAGGACTGTCATATGCCATGTCCCAAGCCCTCTCCTCCAGGATTCAGTAATAAGTGAGACCCACTTTCCCTCTGGGAAAGGACAATGGCAGCAAACCATTGCTGTGCTCCCACTGCCCCCACAGGGCAGTTCCCATCTACACTGTCCCCAATCATGCCAGTAAACATTCATTTCTGTTTTTGCTCCTGCTGGCCGGCCAGGACTGCCAGCCCAGAGAAGAAACAAGAGGTGGTGGAGAAGCCAGTGGTGGAGGAGGCCAAGGAGGAGAAAATTGAGCTGAAATCCATTACTGCTGATGGAGAGTCCCCGTCCACCACCAAGGTGAGTAACCACCTCCTTCTAAGAGGTAAGGGACTGTTGCTGAGGAAGGACTGTCTTCCAGGTAAGTCACCCAAGGGAAGGAGAAAGGAGAATCAGCAGAGATAAAGGCCTAGGGGGCAGAATAGGAGGGTAGAAAGAAAAGAGAAGGCACATGGTGAAACCCCAGCCTGAAAGGGATGTCCACAGTGACAAGGCTATATTTATAGTCATCCACTGACTATAACGCAGTTCCAAAGATACTCTGAGCCCCTCGAACTGTAGCACATGTCTAACTGAATTCTTCCTTCCTTCCCCCCTTGACTTCCTAGATCAACATGGATGACCTCCAGCCCAATGAAAACGAGGATAAGAGCCCCTACCCCAACCCAGATGCCACAGGTACCAGTCACAGTGCCTGACCCTGAGAGTGGGAGGCTCGGAGTAGAGAGCCAGATCTTACAGCATGTGGGAATGGTTGAGCGTTGGGAACTGAGGAGTCCTGTTTCCTCTACAAGTATCTTACACAGCTAAATGTCTCATCTCTGAATTCGAGCATTATCAGTTACCATCGGGAGGAAACCTTTGTTCTTGGTTTGCTCATAATAATTTCAGGAGAGACAAGATCACATTTGAAAAGTACTTCTTGAAATTTTTTGTTATTTTTGTACTTATTATATTAAATTATTCTTTTAATGTGAAAATTTTATGATGTATAAATTCAGTACTCCATACATTATTATTCAGTACATTTGTGCTGTGTGTAACGGCCAAATCAAGGCAGCTGATGTTTTCACCTCATTATTATTTTGTGTTTGGAGCCTTCAAGCCCCTCTCTTTGGTTCTTCATAAACTGTTGTAGATTGTTTTGAACCATAGCCCCTCACTGTGCTGTCAAGCACTGGACTTGTTCCTTCTTTGTAACTGAGTTTGGGTCCCCATCATCTAACCTCCTTCTAGCATTCTTTGTGTGCTTTGGAAGCTGGATTCTACATACATTTAAGGTTTTATCATACCAGGCGCTGTGAGATCACTGTTAATATAGGTAATTTACTGGAATAGCATATGTTGCTGCATTATGCTTGCCTGATACTAATAGTCAATCCCAGATCCTTCCTGCCCTTACTTAGGAGGCATTGCTCAGTACAAGGATAGCTGCCACCACAGATGTCCCACTTGTTGCTCTGCAAAATGTATTCAGGTCTCTTATCATAAAAAGAGCTCTTGCTGATGGGTCTTCTTGTGTCTGTCTGAAGAGAGCCTTGACGGGCAGTGTCCTTCCAGTGCCCTCCCTCCACCATGAAAGTCTCGGTTCCCTGACGCCCTGTCCCAGTATGAGCCTTGAGCTGTACCCTCAAACCTGGAGCTGCAGGCTCATTACTAACTTCAAGCTGGACGTCAGCACACGCCATTGAGGGACTGTGGGTTTCACTGACCTTTTCTTTCTCAAGTAGGTCAGGCAGAACTGGGGTTAGTAGCCAAGCCAGGTGGCTGACGACCTGCATTTCTAGGCCAAGCTAGACTTTCCTTGTTGCCTTCTCCCAATGGGTTCCTCGCTGAACCCTCGAGGACTAGAAGCACCTTCTTTTGTCCCTGGAAGCAGTTCCTGTACTCTCCACCTCTCACTTCCCTCTCCCTGAGGGGAAATAGGATTTGATGTCCTGGGGCTTAGACACAACAAAGAGCAGAGCGTGTGTGTCCAGATTGGGATACTGAGCCTTTGAAGTCTTAAACTCCGTGAGGGAAGGGGAACAGTCACAGAATTTTAAAGACTTGCTAGAACTATTGATCAGATGCAAGGGGAGGATCTTATTTGGATCCTAAACAAACAAAACTATTTTAACATGACATTTTTGAGATAATCAGCAGATCACTTTGCCCCATGGTTTTGGCACCTCAGCGAAACTTCTAGAGAGGAAAGGTGATTGGCTGACTCTCTCCCACTCTCCCCTCCCCATGCTGCCCCTCTGCACCTGCTCCTCCACTCATACCCAAAGGTGTGCCATGAGTGGCTGAATGGGAGCTGGTCTCCAGTCACCCTCTACCATGTGACTTTTCCTGCGACTGTGAATACCCAGAGGAGGGCCCTGTTTCAAGATGGCACAAAGGGGCCCTGGAGACCAGTGGGGGCTTCAAAGTCCTCTCCTCCCTGTTGGATCTCAAAAGATCACCAGTTGGTTTTTTACCCCTGGATTATTCTGCACTAATGTAGGCTATTATCCCTCACCCAAAATGCTGGGGACCAGAAATGCTTAGAATCTGAGTTTTTCAGATTTTTGAATATTTGCATAGACTTTTTACCCATTGAGTTTTCCTAATCTGAAAATCTGAAATGCCCCAAAATTCAAAATTTTCTGTTTCAGACCATTTCTGATTATCAGTTTAGGGATGTTAACCTTTAGGAGAGAGCAACACCTACTTACCTAGGAAGAAAAGCTTTGCACCAAACTAAGTAGATAACCCTGCTTTTAATTTCTGATTTATTTGAATTAACATATAGATGATGCTAAGAACCACTAAGGACTTAAAATAACAAGCATCTGTTTTTTAAAAGTCAATGATGCAGTGGTGGCAGGAAATGGTCAAACTTGAGGTATATTTTTCAGGTAAGGCCAACTGGATTGGCTAATGACTTAGGGGAAGAAGGAAGAATGAAGGGTGATTCAGGTCTAAGGAGGGCAGTAAAGAGGAGGTACCCAGTGCAGAGACCTCATGCTTGGCCTTCTCTCTCTGTCCTCCCAGAGCTCTGCCCTGGTGGGAACTCTTGCCAGCCATGCTTTACCCTGTAACTGCTCATGAGAGTCTGAAAATTCTAGGCTCCTGAGGACAAGGCTTTGTGTTCTCAACCTTAGATCCAGGGCCCTGTGCACACTAGATGTTTACAAAGAATGTTTTATCCTAGTTGGCAGTGACCACAAATATCCAATGAAGAGGGGCACAGTTCTTTCAAGATTGTTTGGGGTGGAGAGGCATGTGGCTTTTTTGTTTGGTTTTGTTTGGTTTGGGGACAGTGCAGGCGATGGAACTCAGGGCCCCAAGCATGCCAGCTAAGTGCTCTACCACTGAGCCAAACCCAGCCCTTCCCTAATCTGTCATTCAGAAAGTGCCACAGTACAGCTTTGTCTTTCTCACCACCCTTTTTCCAAACCCCTAAGAGCAGAAAAGAGAAAAGAAAGATCCCAGAGGAACTCTGCTGGTGGTACCATGGCCAACCCCAAAATGAACTTTACCTGGCCTTTCCTACTTGGTCATCCTCCCTCCTGGTTCCTCATACCTGCTGGGCAGCCTGTGCTGTCAAGTTTCTGTCCCTTTACAGATTTGTGCTTGTCCTCCGGGAATTGTGTCGTCTTTAGCATTGTGCCTAAAATTCAGCTGGCATGTGGCTGATGGAGCAACCCACTTCCTTCTCCCCAGGACTGGAAATCAGTATAGAATTTGTTGAACAGCAAAGCAGTCTCGTGTAGACAACAAAACATGCAGAATTGGTCCCTAGAAACTTAGAGTAGCGCAAAGCTAGGAAATGTGGGTTTTTATAAATATACATGATTTAAATAAGCATAAAATGATCTGTTATAAAATTATTGTGAACAAGAAAATTTTGGCTTGTTTAGAGAAAAACTGAGAAGACTACAAACTCCTAGGCAGAAATTTAAGATCCTTCCCAATTAAATTTCAATTGTAAATATCCTGATTTAGGCCAACCCTGGCTTTACTTACTCTGTGTAGAAAATTTTTCTTTTCTTTTGCATACCAAGGTTTGGGTGTCATAAGGCCTCAACTCTTAGCCTACACACAGTTTTTCTTCTCTCGCCTTTCTTCTGCTGAGAATATTAATTGCTTGCTGGTCAGCTCTAATGACCCTGGGGAAAGGATCTTATTGAGGCCTCTATTCTGCCAGTCCTCCAAAAGAACCTTGGGTTCCTAAATGCCTCTTGTGTGATAAAGAATCGCTTCTGTGCCAGACATTTCTTTCTCTGCACCACCCAACTTCGGGTTCTGTTTATTTGCCTGATTTTTCCTGTGCTGGGGCCTGGGGCATGCTCAGGAAACACTGCATCCCTGAGCTACACCCTGGCTTTATTTTACTCGGAAGAGGGAACATGGATGGGTCCCTAAGGTCCACTTCTGTTGCTCTCCTTTTCCAACCACATTAGTCTCCACCTGGCCCTCTTCTTTTGCAAAGCCTCCTTCCTTATGAAAGTTTGGGAGTTTAAGAATTATAAAAAATAGGGCTTCTATGTGCCAGATACAGCCCCTCCTTCCAGAGCACCTAGAGAGGTGGGGCTGACACACTTAGCCAGGCATCAGACACCTTGTGTGCTCAGGGCTGAGTGAATGCTGGAGACCAAAGGTGCTGTTGGGACTCACCAGGGAGCCAGGTGAAGGGTGCTATCTGCAGTGGGGTCCTCATCAGCTCAGCAGAGAAGGAGATGAAGTCTAGCTCACGCAATGAGAGAGTGTGAGCCCAGGACAGGGCACATAGTGAGTGTGTTAGCTTACAGAGGCTGCCTTGCTAGGCAGCTTAAAACAACAGAAGTTTATTCTCTTACAGTGCTAGGGGCTTAAGGTCCAAAATCAAAGTGTCAGCAAGGCCATACTTGTTCTAGAAGTCTCTATGGAAGAATTTTGCTTGCTCTTCCTAACTTCTTGTGGTGAACAGCAATCCTTGGCTTGTGGATACATCACTCCAGTCTCTACCTCTGTCTTCACATGGCCTTCTTCCCTGCGTGTGTGCCTTCACTCCTTATGAGAGCACTGTCACTGGACTTAGGGCCCACCCTAATCCAGTGTGACTTCATCATAACTAATTACCTCTGCTAAGACCCTATTTCTACGTATGGTCATATTCTGAGATTCTGGGTGCCCATGAATTGGGAGGGGGACACTAGTCAGTTCACTGCAGTATGAAGTCAGAAAATAGTTGGATTTGAGTGGATGGTTTGTCAGGATGCTGAGTGCTAATGCACAGTCTTAGCTGCAGGTAGAGACGTCAAGAGAACAGGTAATGCTTACATGATGATGGCTATGTGCCAGGCACTGTTCTGAGGTCCCTATGTACTGTTGCTATTATTCTATCTTAGATGGAGAAACTGAGGCACAAGGAGACTAAAATGCCCATCTTCAGAAAGCAACAAAGCCATGATTTGGATGAATCCATTTGGCTGGAGAGTCCATGGTCTTAATTTTCACAGGGCTGACTCTCTTTTCCGGGCTGCACATGTCTAAGGACATTTGACAAGAATATGCTATGCATTGGTTCCTCCTATGGGCACTGTGCTGCAAGCAAAGGAATGACCCACCTGCCATGTGGCCACTGGCCAGAAGAGCCAAGAGCTCCTCAAATTAGTGTCTGTGTGTAAGCTTCTGCACGAAGTTCCTGTATGGTCAATATTGCCCCCTCTTAGTCCTACAGCACACGGTTGCTTTTGTAGGTTCAGAAGTGGGAAAGTGTTGGCTTTAAACTCCTGGAATTTTAGATTGTTTATAAGAGATTTCACAAGCCAACTAAGCCAGACAAGAGACACCTGCAGCAGAGACAGACAAGTGACACCTGGCAATGCTTGGCCTTACTAGATCCCCTTTCAACCAGGATAACAAAGCAGCCCAGTTTGCCCAGGATTGGGGGCATTTCCTGGGATGTTGGAATTTCAGGACAGTTTGGGCAAACTGAGACTCATTCATCATCCTACTTATAGCCCTTGTTCTGCGTACTGCCAGCAAAGGTGTGTCTCACAAAGAGGTGAGCTCCCTCGTCCCCATGGGGACAGAGCAGAATGTCTGCCTTGGTTGGTGCCCTGCTCTTCAGAATGCAAGAAGTGTCTGAAAGGAGGCGCACAGTGACAGGAGTCAGTGGGGAGTTGTTTAAAGTGGTGCTTTTCCAAAAACCCTTGTTCCTTCCTATTATTGCTTATACTCTCTCTTCAACAAAATTAGAGATAAGGGCAAAATAGTTTCTGCCAGGTATTGAGGGGGTTGTGGGGAGAGGGAGGGGGCGGAGTGGGTGGTAAGGGAGGGGGTGGGGGCAGGGGGGAGAAATGACCCAAGCATTGTATGCACATATGAATAATAAATAAAAATAAATAAATAAATAAATAAAGTGGTGCTTTTCTCTTACAGGAGAAGAGGATGAGGAGGAGCCAGAGATGCCTGTGGGGCCCCGCCCCCGACCACTCTCAGAGCTGCACCTTAAGGAAAAGGCAGTGCCCATGCCAGAAGCCAGCGCATTTTTCATCTTTAGCCCCAACAACAGGTGTGGGAATGGCAGGGAAGGGGGACTCTGCTCCCTCCATGATACCAGCCCAGCAGACGCCTTTGTCTTTCTTGACAAAGTTGGAGCCTGGGATGCTCCCAAGTCCCCACAACTTGTGCAAACAGACACTGAGTTAACAGAGGGAGGCTTAGGTTCTAAATCAGGCAGACATTCTGCATTTACTTTCTCGGCACGTTTTGAATGTGTACACTATTTCTATTCTTTCTGTGGTTACCCTTGATAATAACTCACTAGGTCTATCTAACTTACCAAAGTATAAAGCTAAGCAATATCTAAAACTTCCTTCTCTACAGTAGAAGGACATTGGGGAGCAGCTCCTGAGACCCAAGGGGCACCCCCTTGTCTTTCCTGACCTGTAATCCTCCTCTCCTCTCCTTCCTGGCAGGTTCCGCCTCCAGTGCCACCGCATCGTCAACCACACCATCTTCACCAACCTGATCCTCTTCTTCATTCTGCTCAGTAGCATCTCCCTGGCTGCTGAGGACCCCGTCCAGCACACTTCCTTCAGGAACCACGTATGCACTCCTTGTTGTTCTCTGCACCCCTTCATACTGGGAGTAGGACCAGCCCCACCGCTTCTGTGCCAATATCCTTGTGCAGTCAGGAGCCCAGTCCAGACCCCATAATCAGACACACAATAAACATTCCTTTAAGAGACTAGGGCTTTGATAGAAACCCATCTTGGGGCCCCAAGTATGATAGCCTCTACCCCAATGCCTCCAGCTGGTTTTATTATAAAATTAGCCATGGGCCGGCATCTCATTGCCTGTGGATGTTTCCCAGGGAGCTCATCCCACCTGCAGACTTAGTAAAGTGTGACTGCTGACTTCCTGCCCTGCTCCCTGTGTCGTCTGACCGGTAGGGGAGTGTTGGCACATAGGTGCTGGCCTTTTAGAAAAGCGAGCCTCCATGATCTACCATAGAGCGAATCTAAATTTGGAGCCCACTCAAGGCACTAGTGCACAATATTAAAAGCTAAAACCAGAATTGCTGTATCTCAAAACCTCAAAACTTTATTAAATCCCACTTAGATGGGCATGAAGAAAGAGCTCACTGCTCTGAGGCCATATGCATACTGAAGCACTCAGTGCCTGGAGCCTGCTTGGTCCTGGCTGCCTTACTGAGGTGTTGACCACATCCCTGATTCGTCCCCTGAGGTCTATAAAGTATGAAATCCCATAGCTTGTCCTCAGCCTTGGCTGACCTTCCCAGGCCCCAAAGGCCACAACAACAGTGTAGATTTCCTCAAACACAGGAACTGGCTCATTTACATCAATGTGACTTAGGCATTCTGGATGCCCCTGAAAACCAAAACGAAACAAAACAAACCCTTTGACAAACGTCCCAGTAGTCAGATTTGGGTTTGTGAGTAATTTGGGTTAATGAGCAGGCACTGTCTAGATGTGGTTCCAGCTGAGGCTATACCTGGATGCTCCCCTTACCTGTCTGGGGACACCATCCAGAGCCTCTGAGCTAGCCCCACATGGATCCAGTGTTGAATATATTGGACTCCACATCCCCAAGTCTTTCCCACCTGTTTCTGTGTGGACAGACACGTTGCTTCAAAGTACAATTTCTTCTCTGGTGAACATCCACTGACCTCCCCACCCCACCCCCACCCTGCTTGTCCCCTTTTCCCTACCCATCCCCACTGTGTTTCTTTTTGTTTTGCAGATTCTGTTTTATTTTGACATTGTTTTTACTACCATTTTCACCATTGAAATTGCTCTGAAGGTAAAGCCCCCATCTCCGTCTTTCCTTCTCCTCCTTCCTCCCTTGTGCCAGCGCTGGCTCTCTGCTGCTGTCTGTCCTGTCGCTAACACACATGCTCTGTTGGTGTCGGGGTCACTTTGAGCCACTAATCCAATTCTGCTTATTTTTCAGATCCTAGGCAATGCAGACTATGTCTTCACTAGTATCTTTACATTAGAAATTATCCTTAAGGTAATGCACCCTGAGCACTGCATCTTACTCTTCTGGCTGACTCTTTTCTCTCTCCTGTTTCCTTCACTCTCTTTGACTCTCAAGATTGAAATTGGAAGAATTGGTGCTGTCACCTTGCCCAGGCTAAGAACCAAGAGAAACACCCCACCACACCCCTTCCCTCTATCCGTAAGAGGCACTCACTGGCCACCCGTGCTGTCCTGTCACTGGCCAGGCATGGTGGCGAGCAGCAGTGTTCTACACTGCTTATACACATACCATCTCCAGTTGATTGACAGCTGAGCCCTACTACTGATCTCCTCCTGTCCAGAGGAGATGCCGCACGGACTCCAGAAGGGAAAGCTCGAGGCAGGAAGGAGTCACTACGGCCCCTCTCTTTGGAGGCCTGTCATCAGTACCCTCCTCAGTACTCACAGCAGACACCGGGGCTAAACTGAAGTTGGGGTGCCTATCAGTAAGCATGGCCCTGATGCAGCCTCCCACTTGAGGCCTTTCAGCAGACAACCAGAGATTACATCTAACCCCTCAGTTAACCTGCTGAAAACCTTTGTTACTATGCCCGTGCCCTAGTACTGGTGGGGGTGGGTAGGGAGAGAGAGAGAGAACCAGGCACTGCAAGGATCGTGAGCACCCAGGCCCCAGCCCTGCCTGCTGCTGGCCCCACTCTGCTCTGCCAAGTTGCTACAACATGGTGGTGATCCTAAAATCAAATTGAGCCCACATCTGAAGTTTTTCCAGTACACTTTTGTGCCTCAAAACCAATGTCGACAAGCCAGCCCACCTGGGACACAGGGTGTGAGCTGTGAGACCTTGGGTAAGGTGTGCTTCTCTCTGAACAAACCCTTGCCTGAACAGAAGGGTTATCAGTTCTGGGCACAGACTTCAGCTTGAACGTCTTCTTCCCAGGACTCTTGCCTAGGATGCCCATCCAAGGAGCTCAGGGCCCCTTTCACCACATCATCAAGACTGACAAAAGCTGATGTCCTCCCCAACCATGTGCCACTGGCAGCTGCAGACCCTTCCTTTCCTAATGAAATATCACATTGTGTCCCAGTCCTACAATGCACACGACATTCCTGTCATATCCAGATACAATATGAGTTGGGCTTCTAAGATGTCCTTCTGTCCCAGAGGCCCAGTTGTGCAGACCTATAGCATCACCAGGAGTGTTGCTTGAATTTTCCTTTCCTGTTCAGGGAGAGTAGATCTGTCCATAGCCCAGTTTCTGGAGCCAGGGAGTGGGAACCAAAGGCACATGGCAGTGTCACCATGCCCAGCTCCAACCCCCTTTTCCATGACCAGCTGCTTTTTCCTGGACTCCAAACTTAGGGAGGCTCACAGATCCCAGAGTTCTTTCCCAGGGCAAGAAGAGCTCTGAGGCTCCATTTTCAGGATCCTCTGCACAGCTTCCCTTGAGGATTTCAATGGTGCTATTTCTCCAAGATTGCCATGCATGCAGAAGTGACAGTCTCTGCAAGCGTTGTCATGGCAAGGCCCTTCCCTCCCTTTCTTTCCTCTTCCTCTTCCGGTCTCTTTTATGCTCACTGTGCCCAGTCCACTCCCACACTTCCTTCCCACTGGGTCTGTCCGCTAGGCCAGAAGGCCCAGCATCACCCCAAGGCACAGGTAACGACAGGGTCCATGAGGCTCATTTGCTATAAGAAACCATCAATGGACCTGGGGCCATTTATCCTTAAAAAAGAAAAGCCATGTAAGACTGTATCAGCTGGCCTGATTGATGCAAAGGACTGTTTCATAGAAGAGAGAGGAAGTAGAATCAGGGACAGGTGTGGAAATGATAAAAGTGAAGAGACTTCTCATAACCAGAGGGACTGTGTAGAGAAGCAGTGATTGTCTGGGGCTGCACAGAAGGAGCGTGCTGCCCTTCCAGCTCAGAGCTAGTGAGCCTATGTCCCTTTCCCTCTTCAGATGCCCAGCCATAGTCCTTCCTGGAAAATGGCTTAGGACTTTCTGGAAGCAGGGACCACATGGGTGGCAATCAGCAAAACAGATTAGAATAAGGACACTTGCACCAAGTGTCTGGACCCAGCTTTTTCTGATGCCCTGAAAGTCACCGATGGCTTTCAAATAAACACCCCTTTTCACATGCACCCACTTGCCCCTTCTGCCATGGCCACTGTTCCTCTAGTCTGGCCTAGGTCCATGTCCCACGCCTCCACCCCAGATCTGAAGATCTGGTCTCCTTCTAGGGTCCCTTGACCAAACAGAAAGCCAAAGCCAACAGACAGAATTTGGCACTCTGAGCCCTGCTGTCCACCTAGTTAAGGAAATACTCTTTCCCACATGCAGAGGGCTCTGTTGGGGCTCAGTAAGGTTCCAGAAGACCCAAGCCTGTCTCTAAGACAGAAAGAGGTAGTTGGGGAGGTCTTGGCCCCTGCAAGCACAGGGGCTCTTCGGTAAATATGAACTACAGTGGTCACCTGAGACCAGCCTCTGGGGGCCCAGGTCTTCACCAGGCAGTGAGCTCTCCAGATGGTGGGTCTTCAGGAGAGGTCTGCAGCTTCATTCCCCCACAACCTCTTATGTAATCTCCCCACTTCTAAGAGCTGTTGCAGAACATAGGTGTCTGAGTCCCTTGTGACCCCTGCTGCAGGAGATAAATGGAAAGAATTAGGTTGCAAGAGCTATTTTTGCCAATTTCCCCCCTGTGTTTGCTTTTGAATTGCTATGTGGATGCACCACCCTGGGCACGCTCTGATTCCAAAGAGATAAACTGGACCCAGGTGACCAGGAGCCACCCTCAGCCTCTCAATCGTCAGCTCCAAATTTTGCCTTTGGCTGACACTTCATGGCCTGTGGCCTTTTTCAGCCTCATCCTAGACTCCCACAGGCCCTTAATTCACCCAGCAAAGTGGAAAAGCCTGTCGGTTGAGCACCTATAGTGCACAGCTTCCCGCAAACTTCAAGGGAGGGGATCGTAGCTCTTACAGCAATCATTATTTTATGTGTGCTTGTTTTTAAGGTTTTCAGTGGGTGTCCTGTCTTACTATGTGAACCTCCCAAAGGCAGGAAATAGTATTCCAACTTTATAAATGAGGACAGGAAGAATCCAGAGTTCAAATCCAGGCCGTAGACAGGAGACACTTATCAGAACTCACCTTCTGCAGGAGCGTGTGTTCAGTGTTTCATACGTAAATACTCAGATGATGCTTACATCTGTATAGGACAGATGTTATCATCCTCATTTTTCAGATAAGGAAAATAAGGCACAGAGAGGTTAAGTGTCTTGCTTAAGTCCACACAAATAAAATACAGTAGGGCTGGGATTCAAACTCAGGTGGTCTGGCTTCAGAATGGTGTTCTCCACCATTATGCCACACAGACCCTCTGAAACCACAGCTCTTGCCAGTCCTTAAAGAATGTAGTCTATTGCGCACATGATAAAAGCGAGAGCACACAAGGGAGGGGTGAGGATAGGTAAGACACCTAAAAAATTAGCTAGCATTTGTTGCCCTCAACGCAGAGAAACTAAAGCAGATACCTTAAAGCAACTGAGGCCAATAGGAAAAGGGGACCAGGAACTAGAGAAAAGGTTAGATCAAAAAGAATTAACCTAGAAGGTAACACACGCACAGGAAATTAATGTGAGTCAATGCCCTGTATAGCTATCCTTATCTCAACCAGCAAAAACCCTTGTGCCTTCCTATTATTGCTTATACTCTCTCTACAACAAAATTAGAGATAAGGGCAAAATAGTTTCTGCTGGGTATTGAGCGGGTGGGGGGAGAGGGAGAGGGCGGAGTGGGTGGTAAGGGAGGGGGTGGGGGCAGGGGGGAGAAATGACCCAAGCCTTGTATGCACATATGAATAATAAAACAATTTAAAAAAAAAGAATGCAGTCTAGAAGCAAGACAATAAAATTGAGCTTAGAACCCTTGACATAGATCTTAAGCACTACTTGAGGACAGGGAGTAGAGGCTAAGTCCTGGGCAAATGAGGGCCATTGGTCATCCTTCTGGACCTGTCCCTCCTTTCCCCAGATGCTCTGAAGGTAAGGAATTTGGAGAGGAAGTTGGGAAGCGTGCATAGATAGCATCAGCAGAGGACCTACAGTGCTGGAGCCATCTTGGACTTGTGATGAGGGATAGGGAAGAATTAGAGGGGGACAGTGGAGCCCGTTTGAAAGAGATTGGAATATAGGATTAGTCCCTGGTGTGGTCTGGTAAGTGGAGGAGCCATTTAAACATCCTGAGCTGGGGGAGTTCTTTGCCGGTATACTGCTTGCAGCCTTTTTCTTGGCACCGTTACCTCCTTCAAGCCTTCATGTCCCTTGGGCAGTGCTTGGGACCTGCCCAAGAATACTGTGGGAGGAAAGGGTGGTAGGGCTCTCTAGAACTTGGACAGGCCACTCATACTCACGTCTCCCTGCACCTTCCTGCAGATGACTGCTTATGGGGCTTTCCTGCACAAGGGCTCTTTCTGCCGGAACTACTTCAACATCTTAGACCTGCTGGTGGTCAGCGTGTCCCTTATCTCCTTTGGCATCCAGTGAGTAGCCCATGGGGGGCATGCAGCTGGGAATGGTGTCAAAGAGTGCCTTCTTTCAGGGTCACCACAATGCAACTATGACATGAATGGGTTAGGGCCTCTGAAGTTTCACAAAAGTGGTGGCTCTAGTTTCCTGTATTCACATCTTCAATGGTATGACACTTGGGATATGTTTATCCATAGGAATATATTTAAATATCTGAATTTTGCTATGATAGTCATGGCCAAACCACAGTACTTTCCTGCCTCCTCCAGCACATCCTCAGGGCCCGTGGGTGCCCTTCAACTGCCAAAGCCTTCCATTTCCATGGCTTACCCTGACTTCATGGCCCTGGCCCTCTCTCCCTTTCTCTCTCTGCTGTCTTCAGTCATAGCACCTAGTGTGTGTGTGTGTGTGTGTGTGTGTGTGTGTGTGTGTGTGTGTGTGTGTGTGTAATGGAGGAGGGAGAAGGAAAGAGAAATTACTGACTCTCAATCTGGGTTGCACAGAGGAATCCCCTGGGTAATTTCTAAAAATAACTTTTGAAAAATGACTTTTGGCTGAATCCCACCCCCAGAGTTTTTTTATTCCACTGGATTGGAGCACAATCTGAGTTAAAAGCTCTCCAGACACTTCCCCTGTACAAACTTCCCCTGTGTTTGTCAAAGCTGCAAACACTGTTCAGGTTTAGAAGGATCTGATTATGAGTTTCTTCAGCATTCTAACGGCTGAGTATATGGCTCCTGCCCTTTGGCGTTCAAAGCACTTTCACATATGTGTTCTTCTACGGTACGCACACACACACTCACACACACACAGGCAGGGCAGACAGGGCAAGTGTTGTTATCATCAATTTTCACATGGCGAATTTGAGGTTCATTAGCATTAGGAGACTTGCTCAAAGTCATGCCAGTGACAGAGAAAGGCTTACATCTCAGGGTCTCCCTTCTCAATGCTGGTTCATGGCCAATCTCTAGGATGAAATGAGGAGAAAAAGGGAGTGAGACCCTTTTTCTGTAGTCATCAATTACCCAAAATTTTCAGCCTGGGACCATACAAGTCTAGATTCCTACCCCCAGCACCACCACTATGTCACTATTTCACCTTGAACCAAGAATTCTTCTCTTTAGTCTTGTCCCCCTGCCACCCCTCTTCTGACCTTTAAACCCCTTCTGTTCAGATTCAGTGAAAAATAGCTCCCTCCCAGAGATGCTGTGGAAAGAGATATGGTGATAAATAAGAATGCCCTTTGTATTTTTGGACTCAAGACCTATTCACCAGAGAAACTGGATTTTCTACTAGCTGCCTCTTGCACCCATTGTCCTGAGCCGTGAAAAATAAAGTTAGCACTTGTCAACCTGCCATATTCTTTAGATTTCAAGGCAGGTGCGAGGCCTCATGCCGATGCTTGAGAAGATATCTCAATTAGATAGTCATGTAGTGAGGGTCAGATGTGCTTCAGAGTTGATCACCAACCTAGCCTGGTTAAGAAGCTCTTCCTTGGTTGGGTAGGTTGGAAATCAGCCAGGCATCTTGCAGAGGGACCTGTCAGGAGACCTACCCCTTCTTGCTTCCTTTCCACCAGGGAGCAGCAATAGCCTGAGGTTCCCAAAAGTTCTGACTTGGCCTTGGCATCCCGGGTGTGTGAACGCCATTCTTCCTTGGATTCCTGAGCACTCTGTGAACCATGTTAGAATTTACATATATGGGAAGTGAGTGACCTGAGATATGTTTTCAGATTGACATCCAAAGTCCCCTCCCCAGCCCCACTGTCCCCAACCACAAGGTCTACAGTCCCTCCATCCATGTAGTGTTTCTTTAGGAACAGTGACATCCAGAACAATCACCATCTATGGCATTCATAATCTGTGCCGAGCTCTTTCCTGGATGATACACTTATAAATTTTGTTTAATCCCTGAAGCAATGTTTGGAGCTAATTACTGCCTGTTTTACTGATGGAGAAACTAGGGTTCAGAAGAGTTAGGAAATGTGTCCTTGGTGACTTAGATGGCAGGTGGCAGCAGTGGGGTCTGAATTTAGTTCATCTGGCTCTCAGTGTCCTTCCTGTGACACTGTGAGTGCCCCCTGAGCAGCATAGTGTATTGCTAAGACTCACCCACCCTTGTGCTGGGGATCAAAACAGGGCCAGAACATGCTAGGTAAGCCTCCACCACTGAGGTATGCTCCCAGCTTGTTTTGTGTTATTTACTCGCCCATGGGAATGTCCCAGGGTGACAAGAAGCTCCAGGTTATTACAGTGGAAGATAAAAGTAAAACATCCCCAAGACAGACTCTCAAGTTTGCCTGCGGTGACTCTGGATGCCACCTCCCCATGCCATTCCCTGCTACCGGAAGCTGGGAACTTACCTCCTGCCCTTTTTCCCTCCCAGGTCCAGTGCAATCAACGTTGTGAAGATCTTGAGAGTACTGCGAGTCCTGAGGCCCCTGAGGGCCATCAACAGGGCCAAAGGATTAAAGGTGAGAAGGGTGGGCCTGGGTGGGGGACCTCTACCCCAACAAACCTCAGCTGGCCTGTTTGTAGTGGAAACTCAGCTGAGATGAGGGGAGTTCTGGAAGAAAGAGATAATGGGCAGGCCAAGTGTCTGCCATCTTGGAGTCCTGAATCTGGCTCCAGAGAGAACAGAGCAATAACAGAGGCAGTCATTCAAGAACTGATGATCCTATGCAAACTTTGCATCAAAGGGGTGCCCCCAGGAGGTGATGAGGTCTACGTATGCCTACAGCTATTAAATAGGAGTTAGGAGGGCTTGGACCCCAGCAGTTACTTGGAGTCCAAGGGGCCTCTGTGCTCCACTGGGTTCCATCGGAGAAGGTTGCTTTGCCTCTTGAACCTGATTTCTCCTACTTGTAGCAGAAGGACTGCCTATGCTTCTTCCCCAGAGAGGCTCACGTCCCCTCTTTCCACTGCAGCACGTGGTTCAGTGTGTGTTTGTCGCCATCCGAACCATTGGGAACATCGTGATTGTCACCACGCTGCTGCAGTTCATGTTCGCCTGCATAGGGGTCCAGCTCTTCAAGGTAAAGTCTTGATGGAATCCCTGCTTCCTTCCCCTCCCATCAGCATTCCCAGAAAAAGAAACTAACAGATACAAGAGGAGGACAGCACCCCAGGTTAGACTTGGGGTGAATGTGGTCTCCAGCCATGGCCTTATGCAAGCTCCTCCAACCAATGGAGGGAAGAGGAAGAAGGAGGTTTTGCTTCACCAGCCTAAGGGCCCCCTGCCGCTCAGCTGGACCTGACCTTCAGAATGCCCTTCTTCCCAGCCAGAAAGGGAGAGGGACTTCTGCCCCCTGGAACCTGTGTGTTTCACTTGCTTAAAACCCACAACAGTTACTTAGCAACTGCATCATGTTTACCCTTCACCTATCCTGAGGCCAGGGTCCTCCTGCTTCTCTTTTCTGCCTTCATCTGTTCAGCTCTGCTATTCCCTGCCTGACACGTTCTTCCCCTGCCCTCCACCCATCCACTATATAAACGTCCACTGACTCCTGCCATAAACTCCCTCCAAGCCCAGTGCACTTCTTCCTTCCTCTCAAGACCTCCCAGAGTGTCCAGCTTTCATGTACAGAGCTCCCTGCTTTTGCCTCACTGAGTATCTTTATTCACTGGTTGCTCTCTATGTGAGCCATGTCTTCCCCGATCGGATTCTGTTCATCTCTCACTTTTTATCCCACAAACCCTCTCTCAGCGCTGGGCTACCAAGATGCGCATTGTCTTTTGATGAATTCATTGATTACAGAATGCCTCTAATCACTTTATTCTTCACCTTCCAGGGAAAGCTCTACACCTGCTCTGATAGTTCCAAACAGACAGAGGCAGAGTGCAAGTAAGTACGAAGCTGACAAGCTCCCAGCACCCAGGCTGGTTACTCAGGGAGGTCAGTGACTTGATCTGAGAGAAGGGACAGCTGAACAATAGTACTATGTAATCCAATCTCATTGATGTGATGTATAGCATTATCTGTTCCTGAAGGTTCAACCCACTGGTGTTCTTCAGATGGCTAGAACAGTGTGGTTTCAGTCTAGCCAGTTGCATCCCACCCAGCATGCCAGGAGTCACTGGTGGTGAGTCAGGTGTGAAGAGAGATGGAAGACCCCAGAATTAACTCTTTCTCCTCCTTCCTCAGGGGTAACTACATCACATACAAAGACGGGGAGGTTGACCACCCCATCATCCAGCCCCGCAGCTGGGAGAACAGCAAGTTTGACTTTGACAATGTTCTGGCAGCTATGATGGCTCTCTTCACTGTTTCCACCTTTGAGGGGTGGCCAGAGTGAGTATGAAACCAAGGCCACCACCCCGATACTGAGGGCCAAGACACTGATTGTCCCCCATTGCCTCAATTTTGTAATGCTGGAATTCCTTCCCAGAGTCCAGAGATCTTGTGTGTCCTTCCCAAGCAATGAAGATATGTTTCTAGAACCACTTACAGGCCATGGTCACTGTGTAAACATAACTCTCCTGAAAGATGTCAGTATTTTGTGTGTGTGTGTGTGTGTGTGTGTGATGCTAGGAATCAAACCCAGGGCCTCCAGCATGTTAGGCACACTCTCTACCCCTGACCTATAGGCTAAGCCCAAAATGTCAACATTTTAGAAACTCCTGCCAAAAAGTGAGCCCTTTTTTGTTCCCTTTCCCAACCTCAGCATAAGCTTCAAGGTCAGATGTCTCTGCCATTGTCCTCATGATATCTGGGAGTTGGACATGGGAAGAGTTTTTGCCATATAGGCCCTTTGATCCCCAGAAGTCTCTGGTGACAGCCACCCCCAGTGTGCACTTAGCATGGGTTAAGGCACCTGAGATGTCTCTGTTTGAGTAGACTCTACCCTGTCTGCTTAAAGAAATGCTTGTCTATACTGATAGTGGGAAATAGGACAGGAACAAAAGGCTGATCACAGTCCTTCTGCAGAGGCAGTGCTTTCACACCTGGACCAGCCTGCTGGCCTTTCACACTGAATCACCTCTCGCAGTTTGTCCACTCAGTGCCCTGAGTATTTTGGTATAGACACCTGCATTCCCCCTTTAAGCACTGGATGTCATAGATGATAGTCAGATGAGAGTCACTGTTACTATGTGGTGAAACATAGGTGATACTTAGATAATGGCCAAGTATTGTGCAGGTTTCAAAGGAAGTTGAGGTCATCCCTGTCCACAAAGAAAAATAAGCTCAATGGAGACATAGCCCAGGCACAGATGAATGCTATACATATGTAAACCACTTAAGTATAAAACCAAATCATCATGGATGATCTGAATAAGCAAGAGTTAGGTTCATATTTTTTATCTAAATGGATATTTTCTCTCGGATTTATTTATGTTCAGTCTCACCTCCTCTGAATTCCTGCCAGTTTGCAAAGCTGTTTCAATATTTACCAATATGTCTGAAATCGATGTTCGTGATGCATATTACATTTAAATAGTTCTTGACATTATATCAACTGTCCAGAAACAGAGCAAAGTGGGAGTTACTGTCTCCATGTTACAGGTGAAAAAATCTGAGTCCCAAAGAGGATGAGTGATTTGCCCAAGGTCACAGGGCCAGATGTGACATAACTGGGACTTGAGCCCAGACCCTCTGGCTCCCAGCTTGGAGCTTCTTCCCTTGACCCTGGGCACTGGGATCAGCAGTGGCAATTATTCCATGGTGGAGACACCACCACTGCTCCAGTTCCCTCTGTGGGTCTGTCTCCTGCAGGCTGCTGTACCGCTCCATCGACTCCCACACGGAGGACAAGGGACCCATCTACAACTATCGTGTGGAAATCTCCATCTTCTTCATCATCTACATCATCATCATCGCCTTCTTCATGATGAACATCTTCGTGGGTTTCGTCATCGTCACCTTCCAGGAGCAGGGGGAGCAAGAATACAAGAACTGTGAGCTGGACAAGAACCAGGTAGCTTTCTGGGAATGAGAGGACAAGGGCAAGGAGGAAGGCAGGGGCCACGCATGTAAGGAATGGCAGCAGTCAGCAGCCTGTAGTCCACCCAGAAAATAGGGTAGAGCCCAGGGAAAGATTGGTGTAGATACCAAGGTCCTCAATCCTCTCCTCAACCAGAACAGGGTGGTCTGTCTTTCTGGAACAGAGATGTGAATCCTCATGAATCCCAGATCTGGCAAATGTATTCATCCAGCAAATATTTGTTAAGCTTCTACTTAAGGATGCTCTATGATGGGCTCTGTGAGGAAAAAATCTTATGTCCTCTCTACGAGCTGACAAGTTAGAATGAACTCAGGTGGGTTGGTACTGTTGATAAAAGGAAGAGAAACTAGAACAACGGGGGAGTGAGAGCTTTGGGTGTGAGCAAGGGAACAGCTTTAGGGAACCACTCTTAGATGGTTTCTTGGGTAAAACACAGAGGCCTGTGCAGGAGGCGGGGGCAGGAGACAGTCTTAGGTGGGAGTGAGATGGTGACGTCAAGTCTCAGAGCATGTTCAGTTAAATAGCTAGCAGCTCGGTCAGTGAGTAATGAGCTGGTAGGGTGGGACGTAGGTGTGGTCCCAAGATCAGTCTCCCACTGCACTGCCAGTTGGAAGAACCCATTGGAAACTTCTCTGTCTTACAAGGATGGCTGATGGGAAGAGCACAACAGTGAGCTCAGTTCCACCCCAGCTATGACAGCTGAACTCATCATGGATTTAAATTTATCATTCTGGCTGCTGTGTGGACTTGGGATTGAAAGGAAGACAAAAGGAGGGAGGCTGATTAGGATGTGTGGCTGAGACAAGCCAAGAGCCTGATCTGGCATTGAGCAACCATAATAGACATGGGGAGAACAAAAGGACAAATCTGTAACACTTAGTGGCCATGGAGGCTGAGGGTTAAGGAGGCCAGAGGGACTTCCTGGGTTCTCATTTGGGAATCTGAGTGCCAGGTGGAAAAATAAACTGACTCTCCTGTAGATCGAAGACCTACAGGAGAGGGTCCCTGTCGATGAACTATACCTTTTTTATTTTGGCAGTACTAGGGGTTAAACTCAGTACTGAATGCTTGCTAGGCTGGCTCTCTACCACGTGAGCTACACCACCAACCCTTTTTACATTGATTATTTAGGAGATAAGAAATCAAAACATGTTCCAAATTACACCTTGAACTAGCAAGTGAGCTAGACCAATAGGTTATCTCCCTGACCTCCAGAGAACCCTACTTCAGGGTGGGTAATTTCACACACATCCCACCCTTCTCTGCCACCCCCACCACCCAGGTAATTAACTCCACTCCCTCCCCACTCCCAGCGACAGTGTGTGGAGTACGCCCTCAAGGCACGACCGCTGCGGAGGTACATCCCCAAAAACCAGCACCAGTACAAAGTGTGGTACGTGGTCAACTCTACCTACTTCGAGTACCTGATGTTCGTCCTCATCCTGCTCAATACCATCTGCTTGGCCATGCAGGTCAGTCCAGGGAGGGGGGCTGGTCCCATTGCATAGCACAGGGATTCTGCCATGGGAGGTGCAGTGGGAAAGAGCTGTAGGCCCATATCAGTTAGTCACCTCCTGTAACCAAGGGAGGCAGAAAAAACAGGTGGAAAAAGATAAGAGTCCCTTCCCAAGGATGAGCCCATATTGATGAGCCTGAGATTTATTGTTGGTAAAGCATGGGGTGAGGAGATAGGTACTATGCTCACCTTGCCAGGGCTCTCGAGTTCCAAAAGCCTCCAGAAAGTCATCATACCCAAGTCATCACGTTAAGGCAGGAACATAGACCTCTGCTATTTCACTGTCATCTCTGACAGGGAAGGGAAGACCTACCAGGAGTGGTGGGTGGCCTCCTGGAAGGCTGATTCAAGAAAGATCTGTTGAGATGAGAGCCTCCAAGAAGGCTGGGCAAATACGATGAGGAGGCAGGGTACCCCTGTCTCATGTTCATGGTTACTCCCTTCTTCACCCTGTGCAGCACTATGGCCAGAGCTGCCTGTTCAAAGAAGCCATGAATGTCCTCAACATGCTCTTCACCGGCCTCTTCACCGTGGAGATGATTCTGAAGCTCATTGCCTTCAAGCCCAAGGTAGGCCTCTGAGAAAAGGCTGCTCGACAGGCAAGGAGTGGAGAAGAAGGGGATGGGAGGGCACACATGGGAAGAGGGAGGTGAGGGGCAGAAATCACCAGTAAAAGGCTGCCCCTTCTCTCCTGATAAGTGCTCCAACTCCTGCACCAGCCAAGAGCTGAGCCAGGCCAACTCCTTGAACCAGAACCTCAGCTCATGGTCTTGACCATGACTGGAACTTACAGGAAACAGATTCTTCCCTCTGTGAGGTGGCCCTTCCCCCATTTCACACAGACTAGCAAACCGAACCTCTCCAGGCCCAGCCTCCCAGATCCTCACGGGCTCTGTTTTACCCCCTCCCGTTGCCTGGTCATGCAGACAGTCCACATGTGGAAAGTTCAGTGTTTGCTCAGGACTCAGGGCTCCAGCTAAGGCCACCTTCTGCTAACCTGCCTCAAAATCTCTGCCATTGCTCTCCAGCACAAAGAGAACAGTTATTGGCAAACTTCTCTGTGTGGCTCCCAGTAAAGAGGTCTTTGCCAGGAAGAGGTTAGAACCACTAGCTGAATGAGGTAAGGTAGGAAAGGCTGGATTACCTGTCACCTTCCTCACCAGCTTCACCACACTGACCTGAGCATCACAGGAGCAGGCTGCTATAAGCAGTGCTGGTCATCCTCAGTCAGAATCGCCAACATCCACCAGGATTCACAACATGAGGTGCTACTTAGACAGAGGCCATAACAGTAACTTGTTGCCCCTTTGACTGCACCATACCTCTTAGAGTGATGAGGAGAGGGTTGGAGAATTGCAGTTCCAATCTGGAGAACATCTCCCCAGCTTTCTAGCCTTCTCTTCCCTCCTCACTAGGTTTCCCAGATGTAACATAGATCAGATCAACAGGGGGCAAAAAGGAAAAGTCTCTGTCCATATCTTCTATGTTTATTCAAATTTTTACTTGTCCCAGGACAAATTGGGGGTGGGGCTTCTCCTTGACTGTTAGATCCACTGTTAATTAACAAGATATCCATAACCTTCTTTCAACTGCCATTTTTTTTTTTTGTAAATGTACCATGTGCTACACACACCTCATTGTGTGTAATCCTCAAAACATCCCTGTTGGTTAGATGTTAACATCCCTTCTGTGGGGAGGAGGGAAGTAGGTTATCAATATCAATGCTGATACCAATTACACCACCACGGAGTAGCAGAGCGGGGGTGGGATCTAGCACCTCTGGATTCATAGTTGTTGCATTGTTCACCACATTGAGCTGTTTGCAAGCATATTTCCATGTCAAGTACTTTTCAGAAAAAGAGAAACAACCATTGAGACCTTAAAATGGTACAGACAGCATTCCTATGATGCTGATTTCTCCTCTCCATCAGCAAGGCCAAGGAATCTTGGCTAATTTTCAAAGAACAAGACTCCTAATGAACATCATTTTGGGATAATAGTGGTGTTTCCCTACCTCCTCCAGAGAAGTAAATATACTGTATGTCATTTTTCCTTCCTGATGCAGGGAAGACTGCCAAACTGCCCTGGCCACCTCCTGTGGGGTCCACATATCTCTGCCCACATGCAGCCCTGTTCCAAGCCCCAATTCTACCACCCGCAACCCTGTTCTGAGGTCCAAGCAGGGCCAGGAGGACAAGATCAGGGCGAGGGGCCCTCCAGTCTCAGCTGTCAGCCTGGGGGGATGGGGAGAGCTGGCATCACTTTCATCTAGTGTCATGAGACATATGGCTTAAAAATTTCAAAGCTTGAGTCATCTCACGATTGACTCAGATGTGCTCCTGATGATGTCTGAGGCAGTCTGCAGAGAGCCTGCAGGGGATTTTCTGGATCAGGTCTCATGAGCACAGGTGATGGATTGAGCAGTCTGCCCTAGAAAGCCCATGACATCAACACCAACACACCACCTATGTCTGCAAAACAAGGAGTAAGCCAGTTCCTAGGAAGCAACCAACTAGGGTAGCCTAGGCCATAAAGTGCCCCCTAGTTTTCTCAATGCCTGTTTTTCTATCACAAGAAGATGGGGCAAAATATGAGAGACTTTCCCAGAGGAAAAAGAGAGTCATCGCACATGCTTAGGTCAGTCTGTGCTGTAAAGAAAAAGGAAAATATATCTTTTCTGTTTATTCCCCTTCTGACAATACAGGGGTAGAGGCCACTAGCTCTGGCTGACCAGAGAAGGCTGAACACTTGGAAAGAGAATGGAGGAGAGCAGGGCCCCTGGGGCCCTCACTAAGCAGTGTTCTCTGTTGAGGAATAGACTGCAGAAGTATCCTCACAATTTCAGGAAGAAAACCAAACCAGAAACCACTTGAAATTCTGTGGAGCTGGAGCTTGCCAAGGATCCAGTGCCTTCTAACTGTGACCAGAAATACTAACAGCTTTCATATCTCACCATTAAGCAGGATTCTGTTCTGGGGTTTTTATTTTACTGATGTGTCTGTTGATATATGATAGGAGTGAGTTTGCACTTTGGAGCATTTGCCATGAAAGGACAACTAGGCAGCAAAGATGTAGAAGATGGGTGAATTAGGCAGTTCTGTATTACTACCACAAAATATCTAAAGCAAATAACTTATAAGAGAAAAAAGTTTCTTTAGCTCACAGTTTTGGCGGTTCAAGGACATGGTGCTTGCATCAAGTCAGTTTCAATAACAGTGACAGGTGATGGCACGTTATGTCAGGAGCCTGTGTAGGGGCAAAACGGTTACATCTGCAGCCAGGAAGGAGAAAGAAAGGGCACACTGGGGCTTCAGTCTTCTCAAGGTCACTCTCCAGTGACCTAACTTCCTTTTACTAGGCCCCACCTTCTAAGGATTCCACCACCTCCCAGTAGCACCACTTGGGGACCAAGCCTTTGGGGAATGAGGCTTTGGAGAGACGATCAACACCCAAGCCATAGCACTTGGCATTGCCCATTGTCAGGGAGAGGTCATGTGGAGGTACCACTGCTTGAATTTTCCCCACTGTCCTTTTCATCTCTGATTGCTGAGCGTTGCTCTGTCAGGTGATCAGATGGTTCTCACGCTCCATTTGCCATTGTCTTCCCAGACACCATTGTTACCAGTGTCTTCATCCTGTCTGTTCTCCTTGCCACTCTGTGGAAAGTGAATTCACCCAAGGAAATCCCGCCCCTCGCGCCAACTCCTTAAATTCATACTCTGTTCACACACACACACACACACGTACACAAATTCACACACACATAAAATCTAAAGGTGAACATAAGCTGGTTTAGAGAAATGCAATCTCCCATAAAACTTTAGGTATCTGTGAAGATATCTGAAGAATGTGGGGGAAATGTATTGATTTGAATACCTAAGCAAGCCAGAGAAATTCCTTCCCAGAAGTAGGAGATACCCTCTTAGAGATGCTGGGATGCTACCTGGGCCCTGCATGATTATGCAGAGCCAAGTTGGTTGCCCTGAAAAAGTTTTCGTTGGAGTGGTTGGAAGGTAACTAAATATTAATAACTGAATGGTCCTCCTATCATGTGCTGAAATTTATCAGCAAAGACAGCTAAAAGGCTGGGCTGATGGAAGCAGAGATCAGGAGGATCACAGTTCAAGGCCAGTACAGTTAGCAAGACTCCATCTCTCCATCCAAGGCTGGCCCCAGGCAAAAACTCAAGACCCTCTCTGAAACAAAAATAAAGCAAATAAGGGTTGAGGGCATGGTTCAAGTGGGCAGAGCACCTGCCTAAGTAAGTGCAAGGCCCTGAGTTCAAACCCCAGTACTGCCAAATTAAAAAAAAAATTTTAAGATAACTTTTTTGATAAGCACTGAAAAATGTCCAATGCTGAGGAATAAATTTGACAAAATTAGCTGAGATCTTCACAGAGAAAACTATCAAGTTGTATGGAGAGGACCTAAAGATAAACTAATGATTGGAGAGATATGCTTGTGGATTGAAGAATTTAGCACTACTAGATGCAAATTCTCAAACCAATCCATTGATTCAGCATGATCCCAAATTCCACACTGACAGGCAAGAAGGGCAAGAGGGAGGGAGACACAAAACAGACCCATTAGTGCCAATAGGAGGGGTCTGGGTGTCCTAGGTTTCTGCCCATGTTGACAGCTGTGACCTCACCATGCAGGGGAGTTTGGGACCTGATGGAGAAGTGTCAGCCACAGACATTCCACTGTCAGCAAAGGCTTGGGTACCAGAGGGATGATGATATCACTTAGCTGTTAATGATGATTCAGCAAAGACAAAAGGAGGAAGAGTCAAGTTGATGAACTTGGAGCTACCAGCTTCTCCTCCACAGAGCCAGTCTGCCCAGAGAGACAGGCAGAAGCACCCCAGATGGAAGGCTCCGCATAAATCAGAAGGGGTGAAGAAACAGGGCCTTCTCTTTCTGAGGCTTCCTTATCCCCCATGGCTGGAGGCATCCATTTTAGGCTCTGGGCCATTCAGAATGTAGCCAGTGCTCAGTGCCCCTGACTACCTCCCAGGGGAGAGATTTGACCTTGGCAGCTCTCTGCCATCAAAGCCTCAGCCTCTCCCTTCAGCTTTCTCCCAGCCTCAGAAGAGGCTGAGAGGACAGTGGAGCCAAAGTGCAGACACTCCTGGGCCTCCAGCTATAGCCTCTGGAATGAGGGCAACTGAAGCCCCAGGGCTCACTTTCATGTTGCAAGACAAATTAGGATAGAAAGATGTTTCAAACCAAAGGCCTGCAAGGGAGTCTGTATACCAGCACTGTCTCCTAGCTCATTCTGGACAATGGAGGTATTCCATTTGCAGCCTCTGCAGCTGTCAAGTACTTGAACTGCAGCCAGTACACTGAGGAATCAATTTTTAAAGTTTGTTTATTCAAATTAATTTAAATTTACACTTACAGAGACACATGTGGCCAGCAGCTACTATGTTGGGCAGCACAGCTCTTGGTCTGCTCCTTTCCTGTGACATGCCAGGCTCGGCTGTCCTCTGTCTACCCATCTTGGCAGCCCAGATGCTCCAACTTCATGAAACCAGATGGTCTATCCCATCCTCCCCACCCTTTCTCCA